AACAGTCTGCAGAATCCCCTCACTGATTACACTGTAAATGATAATCTACCTTAACCAAAATCAAAGTAGACTATCACTCACCCACATATATATATATACGTGTGTGTGTGTGTGTGTGTGTGTGTGTGTGTGTGTGTGTTTGCGGGATGCTCACAATCCGTGACCGGTAGGTGCTGACCAGCCGATTGGTCGGCGGGTTGGCAGCCGACCGGTCAAGGGCTGCTGACCTTCGGGGGGTGCAACAATGTCTGGATGTACATTGCTTGTTGATGCTTCACTGATGCTGCATCGTCCATTCGAGTCCTTATCATCACTTTGCTGATCCTTTGGCTCCATTAACATCGCTCGGATCATACCAAGCATGTATCATGAGGCCACTAAACCACCAACCACTGTTCCCGATACGCTTTCTCCCCTCCCTGGACTACCGGATGGATGTGCGGGTCGGGCCTGGCAGTGGCAGTCGTGTGCGTTGCATTTGTGCCATAATTTTTCTGAGGGGCAAAACATGATTTTTTGACAAAGATTCCTGAATCTTTTTCCCTTTTGGGGCTGTATGTAGCTTACGTCGATCGTCTTTTTCGTTTTTTTTAACTTTTTTATTGATTTATTGAAGGTGGTGAGACTGAGAAATTGCCGAAGTTTGGGAAACTCGATTTGTTTTGCCACCTCCCTGGATTGCTGACCTCTTGTAGGCCTAGCCGATCCATGCCCCGCCGGTAACAGGAGGGTGTTGGAGGCCTAGCGGGGCAGAATATACTGGTGGTTCAAGGGGCCAAGATCTCCCTGGTTGTCAGCTTGGGCCATTATAAGAGCCCTACTTGGGTCGTTCATGAATGGCATGAGGGGACCAGCTTGGGGCCCTTTCGTCAAGGGCATGGGGCCTCCTTTCTCCAGAACAGTGACAATGGAGTCATAACACGCCATGCATACATACGATGGAAGGCGCAGACGGACACAAGCAAACGGAGGCAGTTGCAAATGCTGGACGCGCACAAAATGACAAAGAAATAAACCTCCACTTAATCCGACCTTCACCTCTCGGGCTGTCAGAAACCAGAAACTGGTTTGGTACCTGACCTTGCTCAAGTCTATTAGGCGGTACCTGGCCTTGCTCAACAAGGGCGCATCTTGTTGTTTTTTCCCCAAGGGGCCAACTAAGGGGCCAAGTTGGCCCTCTGGATTCTCTCTCTACCTCTACCCTCGTGCTTGCTCTCTTCCTCTTTGTCTGGGAGGGAAGAAGATTCTCTCTATTTCTAAATACTAAATAGTAAATACCATGCCTTTCTCTCTCTCTCTCTCACACACACACACACACACACTTTCTGTTTCACTCTTTCTTTCTCCCTTCCGTTGTCGCACCCTCTTTCTCTCTCTCTCCCCTTTCTCTTGCTCGCTCTCTTTCCCAAGCTCTCTCTATACCCCTCTCGGTCTCTGATGAATGCTCATCTGAAGATGAGCGATGCACATGTCCAAAGAGCACCAGTTTAATGAACAGGACTCGGAACAAAATGATATAAGCAGCGGAACAACTTGAAGATATGACCTGACACATCAGATCCACACTCGACTCACACAATTATCATCACACATGTCACACAGCAAGGAGGGGAATCATACACGGAAGAAAGGTCCCTCCTTGCGCACACAGATGGGGAAGAAACCACAGATGATGAAGGGGGGAGGAGAGGCGAAGATGGAGAGGGGAGAGAGGACGCGGGTAGAACTCGTAGTCGGCCAAGAAATAGTCTTCCCGTCAAATGTTCAGCCAGTGTCTGTCCTAAAAAAACGTCGAATCAGATCCTTGGCGCACACAGGCCCGAAATAGTCCTGCCTGAAATCTCTCTCTCTCTCTCTGAAGTCGAAAAAGAAAAAGAGGGAGGAGGAGAGGAAGAAGAAGAACTCTTCTCTCTCTCGCGCTCTCCTGATGACGACGTCACGAATGTTGATCAGCAAAGTTGATGACTCCGGATGCAGGTCGCTGCTGAGGGCTGGTCCCATGACCAGTATGAAGTCCCAGCTATGGCGCCCAGGTAAGTCGCTCTCTCCCTCGTGGACATGGCTCCACCCTCTGCACTCCAGCCCACTCCTCTACTCCTCTGGCACTGCTATATTGCATCTCTCCCCAAACTGGTGCTGCTCCAGCAGCGTGACGCCCAACTGAGGCTCCAGCCCGAATGTCCTCAAAGTGGAGGACTGGCCCAGCTATATACCGCTGGGCCTGCCTGAGCAGTCCTCGGTCTGCAATCAGGACCGTTGGATCTGATGTCTGATCGATGGTCCTGATCGCAGGCCCAAGTCCTGGTCCTGTGATCCTGGCCAAAAACTGCCTGCCTGGGTCCCTGCCGGACGTCCAGGCCACCCTGCTGATGCAGCAAGGTCCTGAGGACTGGGCCAGGCGCAAACAGACGAATGCCTGGTCCAGTCCCAGATACGGACAAATCTGAACCTGGCCTACAACAGCCAAAACTGAAATCCGCTGGTGCGAACACGCTTCTGCCTGTTCGGACAAGAGTAGGAGTCTGAACCGACACATCTGAAACAGACAAAAATAGTCCAGGCAAAACCCAGCTCCAAACGCACTCAGCAAAAATAAATGAATAAATGCTGGACAAGGAAAGAGAATGGGACAAAGGCTACAAGCCGGCCCAAAACATGGCCGTGGCCCACCAAGTTGCCCAGCCAAAGGGAGCTGTGTGCCCTGAGGGCTGAGAAGGAAAATGCTGGGCCTGAAGGGCCCGTGTAGGGGGCCGTAGGATGCTACACTCTTCCTCTTGCTTTCTCTCTCTCCATATCTCTCCCTCTTGCTAGCCCCCCTTCCCCCCCCTTCTCTCTCTCCCTCTCTTTGTGCACTGTACTTTCTTTCTCTCTCTCTCTCTCGGCATTGCGATCTCTCTCCCTTTCTCTCTCTCCTCCGCTCAGTCGCTCACTTCTTGGTCTTCGAGGTCTGGAGATCAGCAAGCGAATGTCGCATCACACAGAGACAGAGAGAGAGAGAGAGAGAGAGAGAGAGAGAGAGAGAGAGAGAGAGAGAGAGAGAGAGAGAGAGAGAGAGAGAGAGAGAGCAGACTTTTAGAGTGAGGACCAGGAAGAAACCAAAATGAGAATGCGTGAATGTGCTGTATTTGGCATTTTACTATTCAGTGTGTGAAGTTCAAAACAAGTTTTGCTTTATATTGAATAGCCACCGCTCTTGATAAACTTGTGTACATCATTTGAAGTTGTAAATAAGTTCCGAGTGTGCTCACATTGTGTGAATCTTGCTGGGTTGGTGCGGATTGTGAGTGTGATACATACATAAAAGTTTGCAGCGTCAGAGTTGAGAAAACAAGATCCCTTTTAGTGAGGCAGGATCTTTTCATGTTAGTCGATGGTGACCATAGCTGTCCGGATACCGGGATAGGATTTGATGTACAATCTGTGTTGTTGATTGGTGTAAGCTGAAATTCTGGGCTTCCCAATCGGCATGGTGAAATTACGATGAGACCATGAATTGCTCAAAGGTCAGGTAGTGGTCCCAGTGATCCCTCGCTTTGTGCTTGTTTTCTTTGCCAACGGGTATGGCTGCTAATGGGGATGTGTTGCGCGCTCCTGCTTGACATTCATCTGCACATTGTTTGGGTCTATCTGGGCAGGATGTGAGGAAGTTTGCGAGAGTGAAGGAGCTGCTTCATATGCACAAAGAGCTCAAGCGAGCGAGGAAAGCTTTTGAAGTGGACGAGGAGAAGTTCAAAGATGAGGTTTAGCACATAATATATATAATTCTGTCACTTGTAGGCACTGGGAATAATCAAATGACATAACATGTAGAGTTTGCTGTCTATCAGCTGCTCAATAATATATGTTGTATTGAGTGGAGCAGCTTATGATTCTCTTAATTGGTTCTCAAGGAAGAAACGCACCGGAGGAGACTTTTGTGTTTGGTAGTGGGGAGGAAGAGGGAGGCGGTGAGGGCTGTGGTGGTGTAAATTCTCCAGGCTGTTCTTGGTTCAGTGTTGCTGCACCTCATGAAGAATGCAGACATCCGGAAGTGGTTTGTGCGGCAAAATGGGAAGGAGGCTCCATCACAAGCGGCAAACAGTCTTGCTACAGCCAAGCAAACTGGCGAGGAGGATGGAAAAAAAGCAGAGACTGCAGTTTTTGAGGAGCGTGAGAAAAAGGGAAAGGGGGATGGAAACATTGTTGCGAGTAAAGACACAGTGGCGCTCAAACAGTTGAAGGCAGTTTCAGCCCCTTTGGTGCAGAATGGGTCAATTGTTACACCTGAGAAAAAACCTTTGCAGCAGACAAAACCTGCACCCCAGAAGGTCATTGTCGAGGGCATGGATGCAGCACGAGCGAAACGGAAAAGCACTCATGAGCACGAAGAAGAGGACAGATACAGTGACGAGGACGACGAGGAGCAGGACAAGTTCGATGGACCCTTGCCCAAGAAACATCGGGGCGGCACAGGTACTGGACGTGGTGCGCCAGGAGCAGCTGGTGGGGCAGCAGCTGGAGGAAGAGGAGGGCGAGGAGGCTGGGGCGGTGGAAGAGGCGCATTCTTCGGGCAGCCACGTGCTGCGCCGCCGCACAAGGGAGAGAAGGAGATCCCTGAAGGAGATGAAACGTGTCTGAAGGGGTTAACATTTGTCATTAGTGGAACTCTCGACAGTTTGGAGAGGGAGGAGGCCGAGGTGCTGATTAAGAGCCATGGAGGCCGGGTTACGACGTCTGTGAGCAAGAAGACAAACTTCCTTCTCGCCGATGAAGATGTCGGCGGCAGGAAATCGCAGAAGGCAAAGGAGCTGGGGATCAAGTTCCTTACGGAGGACAAACTCTTCGACATGATTCGGGCGTCGGCGAAGAAGCCTGTCGAGAGTTGGAAGGCCTCAAAGGCTACCGATGAGCACCTGCCTTTGGCAGTGACAGCTGAACAACATTTGCCCCCTAAGCCTGTACATGTGCAGAACTCAGATAAGGCTCCATGTGAAGACAGAGGTAAGGCCCCTCTCTTACGGCAAGGGATTGACCAAGGACGAGGAGGAAGTAAAGGAGCTGGTGATGCAGATGTCGTGCGAGGTTTGGTACCACACAATAAAGGAGTTGTTGAAAGTGAGAGGTGGAAGGCAGATGGCGCGACTACCGATCCACGCGTAACGGATGCGGCATCAGCGGCATGGCCTTTGAAATATGCACCGAAGAACTTCAATGAGCTTGTGGGAAACCAGTCATTGGTCAAACAGTTGCACGATTGGCTGCAGAGTTGGGAAAGGTATCATCTCCATGGAGGAGCTGCAGCGTCAGAAGGAGCGGCGGGAAGGGGACGGGGACGAGGGGCTGCCAAGAAGGTTGGCAGTTCGTCAAGCGGGCCCGATTTTGATAAGAAGGCTGCTTTGCTGAGTGGGCCGCCTGGAATCGGGAAGACGACGACCGCAAAGCTCGTCTGTGAAGCGCTTGGTATGGACGTGGTGGAGGTGAATGCGAGTGACAACAGGAGCAAGGCAGATACCAGTGTTCTGAAGGGGATTGGCGGAAAAATGAGCAATGCGGTTAAGGAGATGGTGAACAACAAGCCTCTTTCGGTTACGGAAGGTGGGCAGCAGGCGAGGCGGATGGTGCTCATCATGGATGAGGTGGATGGAATGTCTGGAGGTGACCGGGGCGGGATTGCTGACTTGATATTGACCATCCGTGCGAGCAGGATCCCCATTGTTTGTATTTGTAATGACCGGTACAGTCCTAAACTGAAATCACTCACGAACCATTGCATGCATCTTCTGTACCGGAGGCCAACAAAACAGCAGATGGCAAAGAGGCTCCAACAGATTGCAGTGAAGGAAGGAATGAAGGTGGATGACATTGCGCTGGAAGAGTTAGGCGAGCGTGTGAATGGGGACATGCGATCGGCACTGAATCAGCTGCAGTACATGAGCCTGAAGTCGAAGGTCGTCAAGTTCGCTGACATGCGAACGAGGCTTATGGGGAGTGCCAAGGATGAAGACCTGACTGCGTTCACAGCGATCGATAAGTTGTTTTCATTTGATGGAGGCCGCATGCGGCTGGACCAGAGGCAGGATCTGGCCATGGTTGATCCGGATCTTGTACCGCTTATGGCTGCGGAGAACTATGTGAACTATCGACCGTCCCTGGCCGGGAGAGACGATCAGGGAACGAAAAGAATGGAACTCATTGCGAAAGCGGCTGACAGCATCTCGGTGGGTGACATCGTCAACAAACAGGTGCGGCGGTCACAAACCTGGGCCCTGATGCCCTTCGGTGCCTTCACATCGACAATCAATGTTGCAGCGATGATGCACGGGCAAAGAGAGTCACTTGTACAAGGGCAATATATGAATCGTTTCCCTGCATGGCTCGGAAAGAACTCCACATCTGGAAAGAACAAAAGGTTATTGGATGATGTGCATGTTCACATGATGGCTTCGGGTGCATGCAAGCCGACCAAGGAAGCGGTCCGGCTGGACTACATGTTTACGTTGGTGGACAGACTGGTAAAACCACTTCGAGAATGCGACAAAGTTGTTGCAGCGAGGATGACGCTGGACTTCATGGAGGAGTACGCGCTTACAGATGAGGACATGCAGGCGATCCTCGAGATGGTGCACAGCGACAAGAAAGCCATGGATGGCGTCCCCCCTCAAACGAAGGCACAGTTCACACGCGAGTACAAGGCGAGGTTGCATGAACGGCGGATTAAATCAGCAGACCTTGCAGCTGATCTCATGGCGCCAGGTGGGAAGGGGAAAGCGCAATCGAAGCATAAATTGCGCCCACAATTGGAGGAAGCGGAGCCAGGGCTGTCGACTGAGGATGGGGATGATGCAGAGCTCTTTGCCGCTGAAGATGCAAATGAAACAGAGGAGGAGGGGGATGGAGAGGGTTCTGCATTAACTGAACAAAATGGAGGTAATGAATTTGTGAAAATCGAAATCAATACGAAGGTTGCGGGGGCAGGAGGTAGAGCAGGTTCAAAAGGAGGAGGAAGAGGGGGAGGCGGTAGAGGGAGAGGCACAAAGAGAAAAGACCTGCCTGCAGGAGGAAGTAGCAGAGATGCTGAGGTTGGCAATAATACACCAAGAGGAGGCAGCAGGTTCCAGCCGTCGTCAAGGAAGGGAAGGTAGGATTGGTCGTGTACTTTCTTTTCGTGCTGAAGCGTAGGGTTGTTCGCATAAACCGTGTCCGCAGGACTATGTATTGTTTTTTTCTTTATTTGAGAATAAATAATGTAACTGTAATGTAGGACTGTACTACGGTGTGGAGGGCTTTTTGCTCCTTTTTTTTGTATCATTAAAGGTGCTCATTTTCTCGTCTCTGTTTTGTTCCCTCTGTTTCAAAGCATTGTCTACTCCAGGACTTCCCCATTACTTCTCTTCCTTCTGGTTGTTCACTCCCTCCATACATACTTTTTTTTTTTTTTTTTTTTTCCATACATACTTTTAGGATTGAGAGTTTTGTCTTCCTCTGGTGTTACGGTGCTGGTACCTGTTCCAAGCCACAGTTTCTTCTGAACCATTTTTGCATGTGTACATCTGAGCAGTGCCCTCGATCAAGCTGTCAAGTGTAAATCTGTCCTGGTTTCAGTTATGGGGGCAAGGTGAGGTGGTTGAAGTTTTTAGGTGTTCAGGCATTTCCAAAAATCTTTGCAGCCTGATTCAGAACACTTCTGCATGGACAAATGTCCCTCGCTCCCTCTTGCCTTTTCCATGCCTCAGCTTGCTCTACATCCCCTGCCTCCTTTTTGCTGCCTTACGTTCCTGCACCTCCTGGTCTCCTGCCATTGCTTTCCCTGTCTCTCCCTTTCCCTGCTCCTGCCTCGCCTTCCCTCCACTTTCCCTTCTTTTACCTTCCCTTTTCTGGCMCCCTGCMCCCCCCCCCCCCCCCCCTCCCTCTCCTTTTGCTCTCCCTCTTGGCATGCCTCCCCTCCTTCGTTTGCCTTTGCTTCTTAGGTACTGAATCATTCCCTTCTGTTTCTGACCCTCTCTGGCGTTCTGCAAAGCTGCTCTGTTTAGCGACAATGTATGCCCTTTGTTTGTTTTCTGTTTACATCAGTAGGGGGCATATACCAGACAGCAGGGAAGGCTGTCAAGGGGAATTTGGCAGTCTCGTCGATCCCCTTCCAGGAAGTTAACTTCAAAAATATTCACACCTCCTCACAACGCGATACAACGTTTACCAAGTGTTTTTATTGGAGTTCTTTGCAGCACTCCTGTCCCTTCATTCCCTGGACGGGGACGGATGTGGGGATGAAGGATGACCCATTTTAGGGAACGGGGAAATTATCTCTGCATGTTCCCGTGGCCTGAAACGTGCGGAACCGTGGAGGCCGGACGTCCGGGGCTCCCCTGACCATCCGGGATGTCCCATTGGACAACCGGCCAGGACGTCCGACGGGGTGTAGAAATTAGAGGGGGGCGGGTTTACAGTTTCCAGGGGCGCTAGGGTGGGGAGCATGTTATTTTGGGCGGCCAGGAGAGGAAGGACCTATTTTTTGGAGGCTAGGAGAGTCTCCGTAATGAAAAAAAAAGGCCCGATCTGGGCCGTCAGATCTCTGAGATCTATGGCCCAGATCGGGCTTTTTAAAATACAAAATTGAAGTGGGGCAGGGCTCTCCCCCGTGCACGACTTCACCCTGCTCCGTTGATGGAGTTCTATTATGAATGATTATCAATCAATCAATCAATCAAATCAAATCAAATCAATCAATCAATCAATCAATCAATAATCAATCAAATGAACTGAGATTGATTTGATTGATTGATTGATTGATTGGTTGGTTGATTGATTGATTGGTTGAAGGGGGGAAAAAAAGTTTGAAAAAGCCTTCAAAAAGGAGAACTGAAAAAGTGGGCGAGGGTGTGGATAGGGTACGGTAGGGTTTCCTGTCGAGGTTGGGCAGGGTCGTCGCCGGGCAGGGTCGTCGCCGGGCAGGGTCGGGGGGAGTCCGCGTAGTGTCAGGGAGGGTTGGGGAGGGTCGGGGTTGGTTTGGGTTGGGGTTCGGTGAGGATCGGGTAGGGTTGGTTAGGGTTCGGGGAGGTTCTCTTATACACATCTAGATGCAAAGCATTGTCTACTCCAGGACTTCCCCATTACTTCTCTTCCTTCTGGTTGTTCACTCCCTCCATACATACTTTTTTTTTTTTTTTTTTTTTCCATACATACTTTTAGGATTGAGAGTTTTGTCTTCCTCTGGTGTTACGGTGCTGGTACCTGTTCCAAGCCACAGTTTCTTCTGAACCATTTTTGCATGTGTACATCTGAGCAGTGCCCTCGATCAAGCTGTCAAGTGTAAATCTGTCCTGGTTTCAGTTATGGGGGCAAGGTGAGGTGGTTGAAGTTTTTAGGTGTTCAGGCATTTCCAAAAATCTTTGCAGCCTGATTCAGAACACTTCTGCATGGACAAATGTCCCTCGCTCCCTCTTGCCTTTTCCATGCCTCAGCTTGCTCTACATCCCCTGCCTCCTTTTTGCTGCCTTACGTTCCTGCACCTCCTGGTCTCCTGCCATTGCTTTCCCTGTCTCTCCCTTTCCCTGCTCCTGCCTCGCCTTCCCTCC